AGGGAGGAGGATGACGGAGCAAGGAGGAGAACAACAAGGGAAAAGAGGAGGAGGAGGAGGAGGAGGAGGAAGGAGGAAGACGACGAAGGTATGAGAGGCAGACAGGGGGAGAAAGATGAAAGCAGGACTGTGATAATAAGTAATACTAGTCATGACAAGAATAAGAATAAGAATAAGAATAAATCCTTATTTATTTTTTAAGATGAGGGTAGAAAGAAGAAGAGAAGAAGAGGACAGGAGGATGAAGGCAGGAAGAGGAAGAGGATTGGACGATGAGGATAAGAGGAGGCGCTTACTCGAAGAACCGCGCTACGACCGGTAGCCTGCCGAAAGAGCGGGAGAAGGAGGAGGAGGAAATGGGAGGAGGAGGATGGAGAAGGAGGAGGAGGAGGGAGAAGGAGGAGAAAAGGTGACAAAAGGTAGGGAGACGTCGAAAGAGGAGGGGGAGGAAGGAGGAAATGGGAGGAGGGGGAGACGAAGAGGAGGAGGAGGAGGAGGAGGAGATGGGTACGATTGGAACGATGGCGGGCTGACAGGTGGAGGACGACGAGGAGGAGGAAATGGGAGGAGGGGGGCGACGACGACGAGGAGGAGGAGGAGGAGGAGGAAGGGTGACGAGGAGGACGAGTACTCCTCTTACAGCTGGGATAGCGGCGCAGCAGCATGCGGGCCGAAACAGCAAGCAGCGGAAGCAGAGCGGAAGCAGAGCGCAAGCCGAAATTAAAAGCTTAGGAAATTCCAGAAAACTCCCTCCCTCTCCCATTTTGCATATACTCCTTCGTTTTCCCCCTACTTCTCCCTCCTCTCCTCATATTTGTTTTCTTTTTTCTTTGTTCTTTTTCCTCTCCTCATCTCTTCTTTCCCTCGTTTCTCCAACCTGTACATCCGAATGCTCTCCTCCCCTGACCAACTCTGAACGTACGGTCACTATATCTGTACTTGGGCCAACATTCAGCCCAGATACAATCATCATGACCGTACGGAACCCAGAAGCCCCCATCGCTCTTCCTAATTGGTCCGCATTCTCATCCGTCTTCAACGGCTAGTCTCGACGTCTTAATTAATTCATTAATTATTAATAATTTTAATAATTTAATAGCAAAAAATAGAAGGGTTAAAGAAAAACAAGGGACGAGAAGTCGAAAGTCGTGAAGGGGAGGAGGAGGAGGAGGAGAGGAGGAAGACCGGAAAAAAGAGGAGGAGGAGGGGAGKGGGAGGAGGAGGAGGAGGAGGAGGAGGGGAGTGGGAGAAGGAGGAGGAGGAGGAGGAGGAAGGGAGAGCCGGAGGAGGAGGAGGAGGAGAGGAAAGGAAGAGGGGAGGAGGAGGAGAGGAGAGGAAGAGGAGAGAGAGGAAGAGAGAAGGAGAAGGAGAGGAGTACAACAAGAGGAGGACAAAAACGACAGATCAACCAACGGGCCTATAGCTCAGTTGGTACACCCCAGATACAGTAAGATGATGACCAAAGTAGAATCATAATTCTGAATTACCTGGGGCCGGTCAGTTGAATGATGATATCTCTCTAAAGGCCGTCGACCCTTAAAAAAAACAGAGAGGGGGGGGGGGGGCGAGTGCAGCAGGAAGCGGAGGAAGGAGGAAGGAGGAAGAGGAGGAGGTGGAGAGGGAGTAGGAGGAGAGTGAGGAGGAGGACGAGGACGACGACAATGATTGGAGTAGGAGAGGAAGACAGGAGATCCGCACAAGATGGTACTTACCCGTAAGATGAGTAAAAGTAGGTAATTAGTGGAGAAGGAGGAGGAGAAGCCGCCACGACAGTCCACAACGTTGTTCGGCGAGGAGAAGGTTGAAGGCTGCACACTTGCTCGTAGCTTGTCCTCGTCAGTATGCCCCTCGACCCCTCCTCCTCTGTTCGTCCCTCGACCCCACCCCTCCAGTTCGCCCTTCGACCCCACCCCTCCGGTTCGCCCCTCGACCCCTCCAGTTCGCCCCTCGACCCCTCCAGTTCGCCCCTCGACCCCTTCACTTCGTCCCTCGACCCCTCCAGTTTGGCCCCGCCTAGCGTAGGTAGCTCTCATACCACCGGCGGGGAGGAATTGTGAGGGTGAGGTAGAGAATGGGACCAGGCCCCTTCTGGCTGTGGGCCCCGCACTTAGCCTAACCCACAAGGGAAGAAGAAAGGGCCCGCCCTTAGCCTACCCCAGAAAGGGGGGAAAAAAGGGCCCGCCCTTCTTAGCCTAACCCACAAGGGGGGAAGAAAGGGCCCGCCCTTCTTAGCCTAACCCGCAAAGGGGGGAAGAAAGGGCCCGCCCTTCTTAGCCTAACCCACACGGGGGGAAGAAAGGGCCCGCCCTTCTTAGCCTAAGCCACAAAGGGGGGAAGAAAGGGCCCGCCCTTCTTAGCCTAACCCACAAAGGGGGAAGAAAGGGCCCGCCCTTCTTAGCCTAACCAGAAAGGCCCCGCCATTCTTAGCCTAACTGGCAAGGGGGGGTGTGGGGGGAGCAAAATCTGGGCATTACCAGATACAGACAGAAGACATAATTGCACTAACGAAAATAATAATAATAATAAATAAATAAATAAATAATTGCACCAACGGTGGGCCCCGTTCAAAATGCAAAAACGCCCATGCCTCCCAAACGTAAGTCCATCCACTGAGGGGCATACTCACACTGGCACTTTCGAAAATGTGCCTGGCCGCCCTAAGACTTCTCAAAATGTACCTGACCGCAATTACGGTCGGACCTGCATGAAGAGCTTAGTAGAAAAAGTCCTATGGCACTTTTTTCTAAAATGTACCTGACCTCAATTACGGCCAGACCTGCATGGAGAGCTTAGTATAAAAAGTGGTAGAGATCAAAGAACCTAGCTCAGTTGATCCATGCATGACCCCTTGGAAGTCCGGCTGGAACTAGATGAATGAAGTATTTCTGTATTATTTAGGGTCGGTCGTTTCCATGATGATATCCTAAGGCCGTTACCATTAAACCACCAGTACTTGGCCCATATGTCGGCCGCATGGCGTTGTCGTTAACGCCCCGCAAGTTTTAGAGGATTGGGGTACCGGACCTGAAAGGCTAACGCCGCCAACTAAAACAAGTTGTTGTTGTTGTTGTTGTTGTTGTTGTTGTTGTTTTGTTAATTACAATTCAAACTTTGTATTTCCAAAACAGAGATCGAGGCCGGGGACCTCACAATTCGACCCGGATAGAACCTGCTGGGGGTCGACGCCCAAAAAGAAAATCTCCTGGAAACCGGGTCCAGGGTCCCCACTACTCTGTATGGAATACTACTACTCACCGCACCTTTAGAGACTCAGAAGAAAAGTGTTGGGATACCTGGCCCTCTCACTGCAAGACTGCCTGATAAGAAGCTCGTAAGCTAGGCCTGGAGGGGTACTCCCACAGAATTTATGAGTAAAAGAGTGTACCTCTATCAGTAAAACCAGCCCATCGAAAAGGGGTGGACCATTTCTTTCGGAACTGCTCTCTAGCCAGGTCGATTGAGGTAGCTAATCGTTTGAATTTGATCCATTCCGCCATAATGTCTATTCTAATTGAATGTTTGAATTGTGAAAGTAGTGAAGCCACAGAAGGGTTGGTTCTGAGAAAGAGCCTGTCTCTTCTGGCGAGCCAAATACACCAAAAGGCCCTTAACCTGAATGTCTGGGCAACTATATCACTTTGAGACTTGCTGCTATGAGGGCTCAGTCTGCTTGTAATAACAAAATCCTGATTCCATTGGTCTGCAACGCCGTATGCCTCTGCCCACAATGAATTCAGACTGTCCCAAAACCCTCTAGCAATGACGCATTCCCACCACAAATGTAACCAGTCCTCCAGGCATGGGTGCAGACAGGTCTCGCATAACGTGGGGATGTCCATCCCTTTCTCTGAGCACCAGATTGCGGTCGGAACACATGAATGAAGGTGCATCCATTGGAGGCCCCCTACCTTGGTCTCAAGAAAAGAGGAAATAATATGAATAAAAAACAACAACCATTTGGAAGACAACGGATGGAGGTTAAGGGTAGAGATTCTGCGTTGCCAATTTAGAATGAGACCTGTCTGTAGAGATTGGGCTTCAGAGAAAAGAGAGTAACCAATCTGGGCTGTATAGTCCTTGATGGACATGTTGTTAACAGATCCATCAGCCTGTGTGACTTTCCAACCTTGCCTGCAAACATCTGTTTTCCATTCCTGAACGGGAGTAGTGCCATGATAACCCGAGTAGCCGAGAGACCCTGTGTATCCTTGGGTTGATGGACTCTTACCTCCTCCAAGTCCAATAGATTAGTTAAAACGGAGTCCCTAGTCTGGTTTAGCCTGTCACCAACCAGGGACCATTCTGAGGCTTCAGTTGTACCGTCGTCGTTGAGTTTATCTACTCTGAGAAGCTTGTCCGTGGATGAAGGGGCTTTGAACCATTGGCCTTCCTTGAAAACTTTGTCTGTCTGTCGAAGGGTGTCTATCCATGTTTGGGGGATGGCCTCCATTAATTCTCTCAGGTGATTTGCTTGACGTTGAAGACCGGTGAGTTGGAGATGAAGGTCCCTTGCAGCCTTCCAGTTCTTGGAGTCATCGTCCCAGATATGTCGAATCAACCATGTGCCCCTCTGCATCCATTTGAGTCCAAAGTTTCCTGTTGCTTTAGTGACTGAGAAGGGGAGTCCCGCCCTGTTGCGGATTGAGTGATTCTCGAAAAGGCATGTGTTCAGGATCTCGTCTCGGGTGGTAGGATCAGTAAGTGTTTGGGGGATCATCTTTGACCAGGCTTTGAGGATGTTATTCCAGGTGGAAGTAGCGGGTCTGGTGGTGAAGGGGCGCATTAGTAGGGCACTCCAAACAGCTTCTGGGTCTGAGAGATTTCATTCCTTAGCAAGAGAGTGTTGGGCAAGTATGATCCACGGTTGGTCCTCCGTATAGGTCATGGCCCGAACAGGCCACTTCGCCAAGAGGGCCCGGTTCTATTTTTCTGGGTCCAGGATGCCTAGGCCACCTGTTCTTCTTTTTTCTGTGATTTTGCTCCAACTTACCTTGCTGAGGGCAGACTCAACTTCTGAGTTACCTTTCCATAACAAGCGTGTGATGAGACGTCTTATATTAGAGAAAGAATTGGGGGAGGGGGACCTTATATAGAGAATATACCAGATTTTCGAAGTTATGAAAGTGTTGATAACAGTCGCTCTCCCTATGAGGGCCAGAAAGTGGGTTTTTGACCACGATGAACAGGCATCTCTGATTCTATTTTCGGTTATTGCATTCTCAACCTCCTCGGAATCTCCAAAGGATACTTGAATCCCTAGATATCTTTCAACTTTTGTCGCAGGCTTGACTTGGATCCCAAGATCTAGGGCGAGAGGCTGGCCCTGTGGGGTGAGAGCGACGGACTTTTGCCAGCTCACTCTCATCTCCGATGCTGCTTCATAGGTTGATAGGCATAGTTCCAACGCGGTAAGAGAGGGGAGGGAGTTATCAGAAATGGTTGAGAAATCATCCGCTAATGCTGATACCTTGATCGAATAGGAGGGAGAAATTCGTAGACCTGTGTAATCGGGGTGTCGTCTTACCATGTTCAGAAACACTTCTAGCTGGATTACGAATAGCGAGGGGGCTAATGGACAACCCTGACGCAGCGAGCGTGTGACCTTAAAGGGCGATGAGGGATGTCCGTTAACTATTACTCTGCCGGACGACGCACCGTATAGTGCCTTAACAAACCTCCTATATTCCTGTCCCACTCCTACTCTTTCTAATGTGGCTTGAACGAAATCCTAGTTCACGCGGTCGTATGCTTTCTGGAAATCTATGAGGATAAGCGTTTTGCTTAGGTTGTGGGTTTTGATCCAGTCAATGGTTTGGGAGATAGTCATCACATTGTCCAAGACTTGTCTGCCAGGTATAAATCCGGATTGGTCTGGGTGTACCAGTTTATTCAGCAGGGGGTTGATGCGGCGGGCCAATGTTTTAGCAAGGATTTTTCCATGTACGTTCAATAAGGAGATTGGACTGTAATTCCTAACATCTGCTTTGTTTCCTTTTTTGTAGAGAAGGGTTATTATTCCTTATGCTGCGTGAGGGCCCAGAGGTTGTTCTGTCAGGATCTGGTTAAAAACCCGAAGGATGTCCGGTGCCAGTAGGGTCCAAAACTTGAGGTAGAACTCTACCGGTAGGCCATCTGGTCCGGGGCATTTACCCTTAGCCATGCTGTTTAGTGCTACTGTAAGTTCGGATAAAGTGATTGTACCTTCCAAGGAAGTTGATTCGGCGTCAGAAAGGATGCGTGAGGTTGCGTCCCATAAGATGTGTTCCAGATGTGGTGGAATGATGGGGGAATCATGAGGTTTTTCGGAGGTGAGAAGCTGCTCATAAAAAAGTCTGACATACTTTGTTTCCTTTTTTGTAGAGAAGGGTTATTATTCCTTATGCTGTGTGACGGCTCAGAGGTTGTTCTGTCAGGATCTGGTTAAAAACCCGAAGGATGTCCGGTGCCAGTAGGGTCCAAAACTTGAGGTAGAACTCTATCGGTAGGCCATCTGGTCCGGGGCATTTACCCTTAGCCATGCTGTTTAGTGCTACTGTAAGTTCGGATATAGTGATTGTATCTTCCAAGGAAGTTGATTCGGCGTCAGAAAGGATGCGTGAGGTTGCGTCCCATAAGATGTGTTCCACATGTGGTGGAATGATGGGGGAATCAGGAGGTTTTTCGGAGGTGAGAAGCTGCTCATAAAAAAGTCTGACATATTCACACAAGGTTACCGAGTCTTTTGCAGGTGGTTTGGACGGGTCTTCCAGGTGATCTAGGAGAGTGATAAGAGAGGGGTTGCGTGTGTGGCTGACTGCTGTTGCCGTTTTGTTAGTTAGTCTGTCTGTGTGTAGGATTTTGTCTATTTGTCTGTGTCTTTCCCACAAGCTGTGGTTCTTAATCTGTGTATTCTGCCATTCTTGCATTATTCTGGTTCTTCTACGTTGAGCCATGATCTTAGAAAAAAAGGAATCTGAGGGACTGTTCTCAAGGGCGTCAGCTTTCCTTTTCAGTTGGATTTCTTCGTATTTCTTGTTCACAGCTTTGACCCGGGATATGAGATTGAGTTGATTGGATAAGAGGGTCAGTCCTTTGTCCAACCACAGTCCATCATTCTCAAAGAGTATGGTGTTAGTTCTCCATTCCTCCCATGTCTTCCAAACCCACTCAATCACACCGGGGTCGTCGAGAACGTGCAAGCTCGGGCGGAACAATCCCTCGCCCCTGGAAGCTTGGAGGCCCATGTTAATCTGAAGTGTGATTGGTTTACGATCCGATAATGGTTCGGTGGTGATTGTCGCCCTGTTAGCCAGTTGCAAGACGGCATCATTGGTAAAAATGATATCCAGTCTTCTTCGTGTGAGGACCCCGTCCTCAGTGGGGCTGAAGGATATCCAAGTGAAGTCGGAGGCCAGTGGGTGGAGAGTGAGGTAAGGATAAAAAAAACTATTATCTAACAGAAAGTCATTCAGTGCCGCGACTTCTCCGGGGTGGTGAAATCGACTCCAGGATTGGGGACTGTGTTCCAATCCCCACCTATGACCAGGAATTGTGTGACTGGAATAATGTCTGATAATGCAGAGAGAAAGGGGCCTTTGCGGGCGTGATCAACAGGTACATATACTGACATGAAACACCATCTTTGGCTGTTGATTTCAAGGATGACCCAGCACCAATGTCCTAGGGGGTCTGACTGGGATTCCTTTATAAAGTTAGCAATTTTTTTGTGGATCAGAATACCCGTACCCCCTCTGGTATCTTGGGCTAGGGACCAGACATACGGGCCGCTCCACCATGCAGGCATGGAGGAAAACTTTTCTGTTGAAAGTTTGGTCTCCTGTAGCATAATGATTGTGACTCTTTCGGCGTGAACCCATGATTTAAGGTGGACCCGTTTGTGCCTCCTGTTATTGTCAACTGATCCTCTGACGTTGAGCCATGATTTAAGGCGGGCCCGTTTGTGTCAACAAGTTTTTTTTGTTTTGTTGGCGGGTCAGCGCGAATCGACGCGCAAGGCATATTAGGCTCGACATCGATAGTTGGGCTGAGTACTGGTGGTTTAACACAAAACGTCATAGTGCAAGTATGCACTGAAAATCCAATGAAACAAAAGTTACGTATACACATACACACAAACACACATATATATACGTATATGGTAGAGCCACATTCAGACTTCTCTATAGCATTCGTATCAATTGCCTTACCAATAGGTTTCATTGTATGGCTTGTTAGTATTTTACTGCCTCACCAGGCCACTCAGGGAATGAATAAGCGAGTGAATTTTCCCATAGAAAAGCGGCACTATACATTTGTTATTATTCATAGAAATGGGTATATCTTGCCACCTTCTTTGGAGAAATGCATTCATATATATTTTTGTTTTGTTCACAATATAAACAAGTTTTTTTTTCTTGGGGGGGGGGGGGGGGGGGGGGGGCGCTCCTCACGAGGACTCAAAATCCAAGTTTATTTCTTTTTTTGAAATTTGGTTGTCAAGGGGGGATAAGGGGGGTATAAGTTGGTTCTAAACAGGCTTAACTTTCGTTGAAGGGGTTTAAAAGGGGTATCTTAGTGTGATTTTATTATTTTATTTTTTATATATGATTCTGTGAGAAAATCTGAAGTGACCTTTAGCCAAAACTGATTTGTATTGCAATTCTACACAACATATTTCCCCCCCCCAAAAAATTATTATTATTATTTTTTTCCGTTGGGGCTAGGGGCATGCCCGGCCAGGCACCCGGGCATATAACCGGGCATAACTTAGGTGTACGGGCGCCCGAAAAAAACAGGCTAGAAAGTTGAGAAATTATCACACATACGACATGGAAACGGACGGTTCAGATGTTGGTAGAATGATTAGTTTGAGGGCTTTTTTTTGGTAATTAGATTGATGACTTGACAATGTGGGGACAAGGTTTGCTTTCTCGGTATTTGTTTTTCTGCTGTCTTTCTGCTGTTTTCTCGGCCTTTTGCTGTTGTTTTGTCCTTCGTTGGTACCGTAGGACTGTGCCGTGTGATTTGACGTAGGTACTGTGCACTATTCGAATGTTGGTAGACGTCAGTGGAACATGCGGTATTTCGAACCGCTGCCATCTTTCCGGTTCCCGGGACGGTACCACGGGGCCAATTGTTCGGCTGTAGTATAAGAGTAGTAAGTACGCGGATATACTCCTCTTCCGTGAACACTAGTGGCCTGCCACTAGCGTTAGCGGATACATGGAAAAGTGGAACGCATCGGTGTTTCCAGGAATGACGGAGGATTTTGGGTGAGCGGGAAGAACGGTGGAGTGTGTAATTGAAGTATAATATTCTCGTACTTCGTCTGACTACTTTCTTGTGCATTTTTGTGCATGAAGATTTGTTGCTTGACCATCACCACCATGTGATCTCTAATCGAACTTTGTTTAAAGCGCGTGTGAACTATCTTGGAGTCACCTTACCGAGATAAGTGAGCACGTTAAAGGGGTGTACCGTTGTTGATTTTTGCTGCGAAGGACGTCGGTGCAAGTTTCAAGCTGGCTTACTGGGGTATCGAGGCATCGAGGGAGTTAGTAACATATGTGATATTGGTGTTAGCTATCGAGGGCATAGACAGTCATGGCGGGGTATGGCGATCGGCGTGACCATGGACATGGAGACCAGAGAGGTTACGAAAACGACCATCGTGATTACCGAGGAGAGCGAGGCGATGCACGCCAATAATCTGGCGTGCGGGGTTACAATGAGAGGCAACCAAGGAGCTACAGTGTGAGGCGACCAGTGGTATGCTTCAATTGTGATGAGGAGGGGCACTACGCCAATCAATGCCCCCATCCACGAAGACAGGGGCCCTCGACGATGTTGGACTTAAGAAAGGGGAGATCTACATCACCACGGTACCCTTCGGCTCCGACAACGTCCGTCGATCCTATTCATTCCAAGGTGGCTGAGATTGGGAAGAGTGTGCTGCCGTCTGTCAGTACGTCGAGAAGGAACAACTGAAGAAAGCGGCAAAGGAGCGGAAGAAACAAGAGAGGAAGGAAGCTGAAGAGCGTGAGGCGAGAGAACTTCGAGAGATGGAGTTGAGGAAGCAAAGGAAGAAGGAAAAAGCACGTAAGGAAGCTGAACGTATCGAGGAAATCAACAAGAATCTGGATCTCAAGGTTGCGGTGAGGGTTGGGGAACTACGGGATGATGTACGGGAAGACGTACGATTGGAGATTAGGGGGGCTATCAATGAGTTGTGCAAGGCAGCAGCGAAGGGTAAGCAGAAGGTTACTCAGCCGACATCACCGAGTACTCGCAGTAGCGGGAGCGGCAGTGAGATGGAAAAACTCAGTAAGCGGACAAAAAATTTGTGTATCAATGAGAAAAGAAAGCGTGCGGAGGAACCAATTTTTGAAGACAGTCCCCCTATGGAATTACCACCTAAACGAACACCTAGGAGGGCGGGTAAGCCTACAAATCTGACATCACGGATGACGAGATCCAAGGCGCACAAGAACAACGTGACAACACCAAGAAAGACTCCAACGTCGATCCGAAAGAAGAAGATACCAGGATCAATCGGGATGATTGGTCGCCTGAAGTTCGAGAAGCAGGTTATGCAGGAACTAAAGAACATGGACGCGCTGGTCCTGCAGAACGTGTGCAGCGAAAAAGGTATTCCATACAACGGAAAGTTTGAGGCAATTTTCGATATTGTCGTGCACCGCACGAGAAAAGCTTATGGAACGGATGAGGAGGAGAGCGTTGAGACTACCGATGATGTTCTGAAGGACGACGCTGTTGAAGGCGAGGTTGCGCCGACCACTGAGTAATGGAGTTACAGCATAGCTGATCTGTGGAGGATTGTTAGCTGCCTTATCCAATGGAGAAAGGTAAGCCAGTGCGTGGATCCGGTGATCGAGGAAATTCTGCGATTAGTTGTGGTTCGACTATCATCTCCGGGGAACTACGTTGGACTAATAAATGTGTTGGTGCTTGGGTGCGATTGTATGATAGGTATGACACCGATTTTGTTAATATTAGTCCTTGCGTTTATGTTGCAGTATCACCCTATTGTAAGTCTCAGTATGTTGGTAAGACCACTAGACATCCGGATACGAGGTGGAGGGAGCACCTTTATGCTTGTCGGACACGTAAACCAAATCACCTTTATCGATGGCTTAGTACTTTTGGCACCGAAAACTACGTAGTTATACCGGTGGATACGATAGCAGTCAACGATTTGGTGACTTTGGAAAGCGTGTATATACGTCAATGGTTCCCTTATCTGAATACAGTTGGAGTAAGGACATGGAGAAAAGGGAGGAGAAGGAAACATAGCAAAGGGAAAGCCGAACGCCGGAAGCTAAAACAACACTCGGACAGGGAGTGTAAAGCTATTTCCCCTTTGAGATTTAAAGTGCATGTGGATGATGATTGGGGTTTAAATCTTATTTCCATCCTTAACCGGCAGGAGGAGGTAGGATGTCGAAGCTTTTCATTAGTATGCAGTGGAGGCAACATTTGGCACAACACTTGGAAACAGGTGTCGAAGATTTTCGGCCAGTCTAAGTTGCGAGTCGACGGTATAAACGTACAGCTTAAGAACTGTAAGCAATTGTTTGAATCAGGGTTTTTTTTTGTGATCTCGCATCTTAGAATTTGGAAACCAAAATGCTCCTTTCTCAATAAGATTCTCACCTCGTTATTACGGAAGCCTTACGAGATAGTCCGGTTCTATAAGTGGGGTATGAATTCGATCTTGAGACTTTATCGAGCGATTAAGGACTTTTCGAAAAAGTCAACCCGGAAGTACCTTCGAAGACTGATTGCGCGTGTGTTTTTGGACAAATTTGGTCTTAGTTTGAGCTCTGACTTGTTGATTAGAGTTAAGTTTGATGACCGGATTCGCTTGTGTGAATTACGTAAGGTTGTTAATGATTTGTTAATGACGTGTGATCTGCCTATCTGTTTCTTGCGATGTGCACGAAAGAAAATTCGCATCGTCTGGACTAAGAATAAGACGGTGGGCGAATTATTGCACAATCACAGAGCTTATGCGGCTCGCAATGTGCTTACCTGCCAGTGTGCAGGTTTACCCTTTCCTATAGTGGATGGGCATGTGCATTTCCGCTTGAAACGGAAATTGGTCGATCATCCTATGTTAGCCAATGCTAACAATGTTCCTAAGGTGCATATTGCTGATCGTTTGCGATCTTTGAGGAAGGAAATATGTGATGGTTTTATAAGTTGGCGTAATCTACGTGGAACTGTCCCACAGATCATGGAGCAAGACCTGTTTGGCGTCATGGTCGGTAACAGTGAGTGTCAACATGGAGGTCTAACATTGGACCTGGTACTCCGCACTAAGGAGATGTACGATGGTCTTGTGCTTACGCCTCTAGATCGTAACCCAGGTGAGACTGTAGTTATGTGCCCCAAGACGTACTATGAAGCGATGATGCAAATGTTCGTGCTGAATTCGGGTTACAGGGTAATTCAACAGCCGGAGAGGGAAGTACTGAGAGAGATTTGGGAAAACGTTTGTCGGGCGGGGCTAGCGAAGTTCGCGCGATGGGACAATAATGGTCGGATCGGTAATGCTTACGTGATCCCCAAACATAAGGATCCGAGTTGCTACCGACCGATCTGCCCCACGTTCGTTGAACCTATGGTTCGTACGGGTAAAAATAAAAAAAATAAAAATGGCTACCAGGAAAGAGTCCGAAAGACTGAAAAAAAATTGTAGTGATTATACAATTATTATGAACTATGTTAAGTCTACAATTTATTCCTCACATCAAGTCTGTTAAACTTCATGAAAATTTTGAGGGACCGGATCGATAAAAACGTTACCTTAGGGTGTGATAACCTTTGCGTTACTAATATTTTCATAAAAGTAAAATATTGCATAATTCGTCGATGCATCATATTTTAACTTTTTTATTACGAATACATGAGTTAAGTGTAAAACCATGTTTTTTCTACAAGTATAATATGTCTTATTGATTGTTTGTTTATCCGACCATGTATGCATGGTATACGTATCAACAATTTACATCTCGTGTTACTTTTGACATTAGTTTTTTTTTTGTTGTGTTTTTTCTACAAGTATAATATGTCTTATTGACTGAAGTTCTGTTTTTTTTAGTTTTTTTTGTGTGGTGTTTTGCTCGGGTCTCGATACCTGCGACGATTCTTGTTTCTCAAATATGTTCCCTGATCCGGGTTTTGAATCCCCGGTAAACGTGTTTCGACCTTCATGACTTTTCGTTCGTCCTGGTTTCGTCCCCCGGGACCAGTGCCTTTCGGCCTGAGTGTGAACCGGTAGGGACTGTTTGTGGGATGTTTTCGATCAGTAGTACATGTCGTTTGGACCACTGATACTATTGACGAGCGCAATTTGGTGAAGCGCCTAATTTTGTTTTGTTGACCGGCCTGGTAAGATGCTTTGTCGCTTATTAAGTAGGTTACCTATAATACCAATGATTGTCTCGTTGAAGGTCCTTTTTGGGTCCGACGTTTAGTCTGCTTGTCGGCGTTTCCGGAGATGTCGCTGGTTGACGACGGAGGGGGGAAGTGGAAGGAGTGGCATTAGCTAAGGGTTGAAGTTTGGCGGATTCCCCCTGAGGAAGGCCGCGTGGCGGCGACCGAAACCGGTCGGGGTGCCATACCCACCGGCGTGACAATCGACTTTGTTTTGCACTGGATTGTAATCATTTTTCCATTGTGACTTTGGTTTCGCAATCTTGCCTTGGACTTGTTGGTTCTTCTTTTGCAACTATTGTTCTCTTTGAGATCTTGTCAAACTATCAAACAACTGTTGAAGGCCCATGTGAACCAGCTCGGAAGTTGCCGAGCAAGAGTGAGCATGTTGAAGTGATCTACTGCTACCGTCGTTACTGTTTTTTGTCATTACTACTTGGATTTCGACACTCCGTTACGTTACGGCGGGGTGGTTTCTTGTTCCTTGTTCTTCTGAAGGATAACCAAGTTAAGGATGTGTACTATCCTTGGAAGCAAGCTGGATGTCTGGATCGGGTTACCGCGACCATCGGGACTATCGACGCTGGAGCGAACGTGATTTCAACTACGATGAAGGAAGACACAGTAGTCGGGATGGACACGGAAGAGGACGGGATCCGCGACGGGAGCGCTATACTGGCGAAGAGAGACAACCCACCGATAGGGGCTACGCTCATCGAGAGGGGCCCCGACGACCGCCGGTCACTTGTTACGAATGCGGGGAGCCGGGACACTACCGGAACCAATGCCCTAAGCTCGTTGGAGAAGCAAGCTCGCACCGGGGAAGATCGTCATCGCCAGGGCACCTGGTCAGAGGGATTGAAAAGCGATCGCTGTCGGAAGAACCAGCTATCAGGAAACAGCTGGAGGTTTCGACTACCACCATCGCAAGCATGAAGAATTTTATTGATGCTGAGCAGGAACGTAAGGACGAAGAAGAGCGACGTAAGAAAGAGAATGAGAAGCGGGAGCAGGAGATTGCCGAAGAACGCAAACGAGAGGAGTTGGAGCAACAAGCCAGGGAACGACGAGCTAGGAAAAAGGAAGAGAAGAAGAAGAAGGAGGCAGAGGATAGAGCTGCCATACTGAAGGAGATGCGCATGGAGATGAAACTGCGTATGAGTGCCATGAGTGAAGGAGTGCACGACCGATTGCTGTAGACGATGCTATCAGAGGAGGCTAAAGGGAAGACGAAGGTGCCAGATTACGCATCGGATGACTTCGCCGACGACTCCGATGATAGCGAGATTGAAGGCCTTAGCGAGCAAGCGGAACGATTGATCATCCACGAGAAACACAAGCGAGGAGCTGATAAAACAGTGGGGGACAGCCGACCCGTAACAACCCCCGCTAAGAGATCGGTCAAGAGGGGAGGGATGGACCCGAAGAAGCTGATGCTGAGGTGCCGCCACCCATCTCTGAAGAAGCCATCCCCGAGGAAGCGGACACCGGCATCAGCGACGCTGACCAGACGACGGAAGATCCCAGCATCACCAGGTGTGATGGAAAAACTGAAGTACGTTCAGGAGAATCTGCAGGAACTAGGCGCGCTTAATATGGAGGAGTTGAAGACGATTTGTCGTGGTGAGGATGTCACGGTCGAAGGAAAGAAGATGGACATCATTTTTGCGATTACAGAAAAACGCGCCCATACCGCCTATGGCACCGACGAGGACGAAGGTGCTAGGAAGACTGTGGAAGCCGAGGATGAAAAGAAATCAGCCAATGAGTCCGGGGATGACAAGGAGAGTGAAGCGTGAAGAAACAACGACTACTGGAGGCTTTGTAGGGCCCTGATGATTGAGAGAAGGAGAGGATCGTACAATGAAGCAGTTGAAATAGTCTATCGTCTTATCATTGTGATACTGGCATTGAGGAACCAGATCAGATGGCTCACAAAGTGTGTTGACACATGGATTAGGTTGTATCAACAGAACGGGGTGCGTGCGTTTCACTGTGCCACTGGCGGAGTTTACCTTCTTACCTCACCTACTTATCGAGCGCAATATGTGGGCCAGACACGTAGAAGTGGTAACAGAAGGTGGAAAGAACATGTGTCGAATTGCAGAAACGAAAGTCGTCAAACACACTTATACCGCTGGTGGCAAGTGTTTGGAGCGGAATCATACGTCATATTGCCACTCGAAGATTGCGCGGCACACGAGTTGCAATCCTTTGAGCAGCTATATATTAGACGGTGGAGCCCTGTGTTGAAGACTTCGGGGAAGAACCGTAAAGGAAGAAGTAAGAAGCAAAGACCCGGCAAGCAGGAGAGAGGACGAAGGGCAGCTGCTACGTATCAAGACGAGTGTCGGGGAGAAGCATTGAACCCAGTAGGGGGTAGACTGCCTAGTAGCGAGGACTGAAGAGTTGATATTTTCCAGTTGTTGGAGGAGCAGGAAAGAGATAATCGACTGAAGTTCAAGATCGTTACGAAGGAAGGGAATAGGTTGTGTAGGGGTTGGAAGTCTGTTAAGGCAGCCTTTGCGAACTCGGATGTACGAGTGGCAGGGCAGCGTTTGAAACTGTATGCCTGCAAGCGGCACTTTGAAGGTGGTATGGACATCGATATTCTGTAGCTGAGGCGGTGGCGGCCGAAGGTTGGCCTTGACAAGCGTTTCCTTCGTAAACTATTCCGTAATCCGCTACGTATGTAGCTGCTCAATCAGTGCAACTTGGAAACCCTGGTACGAATGATGCGTTCAGCAGGTGACTTTCAGCAAGCAGCCAGCACAGCCTACCTTAGGCGCCTGATCTCATGATCGATTCTAGACTCTTATGGATGGAAGATTAATGCGAGAATGATAATACGTTTGAGATTTGACGACAAGATTCGGATGGTGGAGGTGAGGAAGTTAGTCAATGATAGGATTGAGAACTTACCGATTCCAAGGTGTGTGAAGGATCATGCACGTAGCACTGTTAGAATCGTATGGACAAAAAATCTGTCGATTGCTAGCATGCTGCACAACCAGCGACTCTTTGCGAGAGCTGTTGTGTCCACCTGCGTTTGCGCAGGTCTACCCTACCCTCGTGTAGGAGCTCATGTGCTGTTCCAACTTCAAGACCTGGAAGGAGTACATCCGCTAATCTGTAATGCGCATAACATCCCGAAGCTATCCTTACCTGATCGAGGGACTCTTTTGGTACGCGAGATCTCTGATGGAATTCGGGTTTGGGCGAATTTCAGAGGTTCGGTACCAAGTATTACCAGGACCGAGGTTGACAGTTGTCTATTGAGATCTGAGTTTGAGAAGATGGATTTTTTGAATCCGAAGGTGGTCCATGACCTGCGAGGGAGGCTCGAAGGTTTGGTGATGACACCACTGGACAGGAATCCAGGGGAAACCCTGGTTCTTTGTCCAAAAGTGTATTTTGACGGATTAATGAGTAGTTTTGTGATGTCACCAGGTTACGTTATCATCGAATCGAGCGAAGCTGATGTGATGCTTCAAATGCGAAACGAGGCGAAGGAAGCCGATCTGACACAATTCATACGATGGGACAAGAAGGGGAAGTTTGGGGAGTCCTATATTCTTCCGAAGCACAAGGACCTGTCTAGGTACCAGCCGATCTGCCCTACCTTCTCGGAGCCGACTGTACTGACGTGTAAGGCAACGGCGAAAGCCCTCAATCACCTATTGGGGACACTACCGATCGACCGGCATTTTAACCTCAAGTCTGTGACTGATCTGGTACCACGATTGGAGAAATATAACAAGAAGATTGGCAGGATGTGGCACAACAACTCTGAAATCATATCCTTATCATATGACATAAAGGATATGTTCAGTAAGCTACCACATGAAGAGATCATCGCAGCGGTCGACTGGGCTGTCGACTTTCATCTGAGGAAAGGAAGAACTCAATTGAAGGTCAATACGAGGGGCAGGGGCTGCACTTTCGGAAGAACAATGGGTGATGAACAATGAAGGTGTATGGAGCTCGAGCAGGTGCGAAGCTTCGTCCAATGGGAATTAAAACACACCTACACGAAGGTCACAGGAGTAGTGCTCAAACAAGTGGTGGGTATTCCGATGGGGAAAAGCACTAGCCCACCACTTGCCTGCCTGTTGTGTGCTTTCGCGGAATACCGCTTCCTGGAGCAACTCGGTAACCTGCGTAGGAATGTTTTTGGCATCCGTTTGATGGATGATGTGAGTATTTTTATCCTCAGCGGAGGTAGGAAACTTACTCCTATTCAGAGAACTCAGGAGGACTTTGAGAACTGCTACCCCAAGAACCTTACTCTGAAACGAACAGATGACGGGCTCGGACAATGGGACTTCCTCGGTACTATTATGAGGACCAATGATGCGTACCCGTACTTGAGATGTGTTCAGTCGTCCAAGAATGAAATGTCCATGTGGGAGGCCGATGAGCTGGTGATTAAAAACGGATAATCCTATCTGTCTTGGTCCGCCAAGGAACAGAAGAGCGCAGCCATTGGAAGCTGCCTCCACCGCATCGATAGAAATACTAACGATCGTCAGGCTATCCCCATGAGAGTCTTGAGTTTGCAACGAGAGATGAGAATCAATAAAATTTCCATCTGAGTCCCTGAAGAGGATTCTGCAACGGTTTGCGAAAGGACGTGACGAAATCTGGTCTTGGACCTATCGATGGTTGTTCGGTGATGAGTAGCACGTGCCGAGTGATAATACTAGTGCGCCTTTCTCGTTTTTTGTTTTTTATTTTTGGTTCTTGTCTCTTGTTTCTATGATAAGTAGGGACAGGGTGTACTCGCTGACTGACCTGTTTTTTCAAACATAACATTAGTGTTGTTAGAAATTTTTTTCTGTTGTGTAATTGCATGATGCTTTAGCTAAATCTAGTAACTGGAGTTGTAGGGAATTTAGAGAGGTAGGAACAAGATGCAGTCAAAGTAATTAGGAGTTAGGAAATGGGTGCAGTCAAAGTATTTAGGAGCCTCACTCGTTCGAGTATGCTTTGATTTGCTTTGTTTGGTGTTGTTTGCTCGGGTCTCGAACCGGTGACGATTATGATTTTCTTAGTTCTCAAGTTTTAGTTTTTTTTGAAGTTTTTTTTTTTTTGTGGTGTTTTGCTCGGGTCTCGATACCTGCGACGGTTCTTGTTTCTCAAATCTGTTCCCTGATCCGGGTTTCGAATCCCCGGTAAACGTGTTTCGACCTTCATGACTTTTCGTTCATCCTGGTTTCGTCCCCCGGGACAAGTGCATTTCGGACTTAGTGTGAACCGGTAGAGACTGTTTGTGGGATGTTTTCGATCAGTAGTACATGTCGTTTGGACCACTGATACTACAGACGAGCGCAGTTTGGTGAAGCGCCTAATTTTATTTTGTTGACCGGCCTGGTAAGGCGCTTTGTTGCTTAGTAAGTAGGCTACCTATAATACCAATGATTGTCTCGTTGACGGTCCTTTTTGGGTCCGACGTTTAGTCTGCATGTTGGCGTTTCCGGCGATGTCGCTGGTTGATGACGGAGGAGGGAAGTGGAAGGAGTGGCGTTAGCTAAGGGTTGAAGTTTGGCGGATTCCCCCTGAGGAAGGCCGCGTGGCGCCGACCGAAACCGGTCGGGGTGCCATACCCACCGGTGTGACAATCGACTTTGTTTTGCACTGGATTGTAATCATTTTTCCATTGTGAGTTTGCTTTCGCAATCTTGCCTTGGACTTGTTGGTTCTTCTTTTGCAACTACTGTTCTCTTTGAGATCTTGTTAAACTATCAAACAACTTTTGACATTATCATACTAAGTGTTAATACTAAGAAATATTGCAACATTTCCTTTATACTTCGATGTCATCTTGAATGAATCATAATGCAAATCATTCTAAAAGTTTAATGATTAAAAATTGACTTAAAAAAAAATATTTTATTTCTTAATTTGCAAACGAAGTTCATGATTGTCGATCAAATTATTAACGGGACACAAGTCAATTTTTTTACTGTTATAAATTTCAGAGATAAGATACAATCAGCCACAAAGTATTCATCCAGTTAATAAATACTTCAGGATGATTATAACATATATTATCTCACTTCATGAAATATTTATAGAGACCCACAATTATTATTATTATTTTTCTTTGCCTTTATTCACTATACAACAGATAAGCAACACTGATATTCATTTTTTAACCAAACAATATTGCTTTACGAAAAACCATTTACCCTAGGTTACCAGTCGTCCGATGGCCGGACGTCTCCTCCAACCGTCCGGTAGGGGGGTTGTCCGGGATTCCGGACAACCACTTTTTGGCATTAAAAAAAAAAAAAAAAAAAAGACAATGTTGCGCATGCCATAGAGACCCCCCATAAAAAAATTTAGAATTTTATGAGCATTTGGTGATAGGGGGCTTTTTGGGGGGGGGGGGGGGGTACGAGAGGTTTTGGTGGGGATAGGAGGGGTATATAGGTGGGGATTAGAAAATTTGAAGATTTTTATCTTTTTTTTCTACTGGCTCAAATGAGCCAAAATTTTGGTGGCATACACCTTATGCAAGTTAGAAACCACATGATTTTTTTCAAAAAAAAAAAACTTTTGCGCTAGGTCGGACAACCCCTGTCCGATCCGACGTCCGACCAGACGTCCGGTCGGACATCGCGGACGGTTAGGGGGGTCCCGGATGTCCGGTAAAACAACCTAGCATTTACCTTAGGTTCGCGAATTTGTTTAAGGAAATTTTCTTGATAGACTCCAATCAACGTCTAACTGTGAACACATTTTTTTTGACTTCTGACTTTTTTTTTTCTTCTTTAATTTCCATATGTTTTAACTTGAAACAGTGCTACCAAATATTTCAGATACATGAGGTAATTCACTATTGGTTTGTAATCCAATTGCAAAGTCTCCTTCCTTAGT